CTGCAAGCTTCATCATACCGGCAGCTGGCATTGTTGTGGTCTGCCAGCAGCCTGCGGAGTTGGCAGTGGAGTCGGACAGCAGTGAGGCTGAGGAAGAACATGGGCCAGTCCTGGAGGCTGGGGAAGGCCTGGATGAGGGCTCTGCATCGGAGGCAGAGATGGGGCCAGGGCCATCAGGGAGTGATGTGCGGACTTCGGAGCCTCCAGAGGCTGCCAGTAGAGAGGCAGAGGAACAGGAGAAGCCTGTTCCTAGTGCACATATGAGAAGAGCTGCCAGAAGGCAGGAGCAGCTAAAGCAGAGAGGACAACTCGGGAGTTGGGCCAAGAGATGATTGGCCCATCCCATAAGGCTTAAAAGGCCAACAATGGCTCTTGGCCTCTTCGCCGGAAAACAACTATTGAGAGAATTGCTTCTTGTTTGGCTGTAATTATTTCTTCTGTTCCTGAACTGTTGCCAAGAAAAGCCTTTGGCAGTTTGCCTAATTATCCCAAGGTCAGAGATAAACTAAAGACTGGTGTTTTAAGGACTTTGTTTTCATTTCATTTAGAATACTCTGAGAATGAGTTAATTCTCAGCTGTTTTAATAAAATCTGTTTTTTGGAACTGTTTTGCATTTAGTATCAACTGGGTCACAAGTGAGCCTGGGTCACAACAGGCATCCTGCCACTCGCGGCTGCACCGGTATGTCAAACCTTGCAGCAGTGCTGCCATTTGTGCATGCAATGGCACAAGCCTTGCAGAATCCTGCTCCACGAGGCGGCGGTGGTGGCACAATGAGTCTCACAAAGACTCATTTCTTACAGGTGGGGCGGGGGAGAAGTGAGACACATGGAGCGAGACGTGGCTCCCCTTGCCGTCTCTTCTCCCCCCCCTCTTTTCCAGGCATGGCAGTTCCTCGCCGTTGTGTCCAGGGAAACACTTTGTAAAAAAAAAACTTTATTGAACTCACAAGAAGGGTTTTTTTTTACAATATGTTTCCCTGGACACAATGGCAAGGAAAGCAATGGAGCTTGAAAGGTAAGACACCCGCCCCACTTGCCACCCCCAAATTGCATCCCTAAAAGGGGCGGGTGGCTAAGGAAGGGGCAGGAGCTCTGCCATGCCCAGTGAGGGGGGGGGAAGAGACAGCAAAGGGAGCCATGTCTCGCTGCACATATCTCACTTCTTCCCCACCCCACCTGCCACCCCTCTCAATAAAGAGATGGTGGGAAAGGGAAGTAGCCAGGCTGCTGTTGCCATTGGGGTGGGACTGGATGGGTTGGGCCGTGAGATGCACATCTTATCTTTCCAGCTCTGTGGCGTTCCTTGCCATTGTTTCCAGGGAAACACGTTGTAAACATAAACTTCTCGCGAGTTCGAGAAGTTTGATTGAACTTGCAAAGTTTTTTTTTACAACGTGTTTCCCTGGACACAATGGCGAGGAATGCGACAGAGTTTGAAAGGTAAGACACGCGTCCCGTTTCTTGCCCGCCCCACTTGCCACCCCCAAATTGCATCCCTAAAGGGTGTGGGTGGCTAAGCAAGAGGCAGGAGCCCTGCCATGCCCGGCGAGGTGGGGGGAGAAGTCTTGGTTCTCCCCCACCCCACCTGTCAGAAATGAATCTTTATGAGACTCATCCTGCCACCGCCTCATGGAGCAGGACTCTGCAAGGCTTGTGCTGTTGCAAGCACGAACGGCAGCACTGCCGTGAAGTTCAACATACCAGCGCAGCCGCAAGCAGCAGGATCCCAGCTGTGCCGGTATGATGAAGATCATGCCGATGCTGCCTCCGCCCCCAAAATAATAAGAGCCCCCCCCCCCGATAATAAGGCCAAGCCCTTAATTCGGGGTTCAAAAGAAAATAAGACCCTGTCTTATTTTCAGGGAAGCACGGTATGCATTTTGATGAAGCTCTGGTTTCTTGGCAGAAAACCATTTCAAATCTTTTCATCTTATTTAGTACTTTGGAAAAACAAATTGGATTAGAACCCATAATAATGCTATGGGGCTTCTTTCATTTAAATATATAAAACATACAGTAGTTTCTGCTAGCTTAACTGTTAGTGACAGTGAAGTCTAAGGAAACAATATTTAAGGGATGGAATTGTATTGTATCCTGATGAAATATTTCTTTGGTTAACCCTACTCCTAAAATACGTACCATGTTTCCCCGAAAATAAGCCCCCGTCTTTTATTTTTTGAACCCTGAAATAAGCACTTGGCCTTATTTTGGGGGAGATCTTATTATTTTGGGGTGCATGGAGCAAGACGGGGCTCCTCTTGCTGTCTTACTTGATTTCCACCTCTGTCTCCCTAACCCTAACCCTAACCCGAGGAAATGGTGGGGACTGGCTGCGCATGTGCTTAAATATTTTCAGGGTGGGCTTATTTTCGGGAGGGCTTATTTTAGTGCATGCACTCAAAAGCCTGATTGGGTTTATTATCTGGGGAGGTCTTATTTTCGGGGAAAACAGGGTAGAAAAGAGAAGGAACTACTTATATACATCTCTTAATAGGTTAAGAGGTACCAGAGGATACCAAGTCATATATTTCTATGTACAAGATTTCCCTTGGTGTCAAAGAAATGACTGGACTAAATATAATTGAATTCTGTAATAGCAGTGACACTCACCGAGATATGTGAGTGTAGATTGTGAAGGGATGCAAACTTAGCTTTGAGATTTTTGTTTTAAATTGTTTTTTCCCCTCATAAGAACTAGGTGGCCATTTCCAGCATTGTTGACAATTTATTATATTGGATTGGTGGTATGGGAGTTGGAGTCTAAAACGTTCCCAGCCATAGTGGAGAAGTATGTTACAGTACATAAATTCAGCATATGTCCTATTCAATTGCATTGTGTTTGTTTCATAATTCTTACTTTATGGGCTAGCATTGTAAGTTTCTGTTTAAATATTTGAACATTTACTTTTCTTTCCAGATAGGTAGTCTATTTAGTTGCAGCAAAACTCTGCAAGGAAACCTTAGTCCGGATCTGTATTTTCTGCATTTCATTTGCTTCTGATGTCAGAATTTATAATCCATCACCATCTTTCTATAGTGTATATACTTGTAGCACAGAATTGTATTCCTTGCCTCTGCTGAAATGGCTGAAGGCTACAAAAAATAATGTCAAATGACATGCTTTGTTAGTTCTGAAGATGCCACAATAACCTTATTGCGTTTTTTAGCTCACACTGCTTTCTGCCACAGCACCATCAAAGACCCATTTTATTCCAAGCATGCCAACATTATTCTATGCAAATGACACTTTCTGATCTAGAAATTAGACTAGTGTGTTATATTGAATGTCCAGGGCAATGCATGAAATGTACTGTTTTGGTATTTATTATTTTCTTCTTCCTCCTCACTTTGGATACACTTCTTAGCAATGCTGAGAAATATAATTCTGTAACTTCTGGAAGGCCTCAAGTTGCCCGCTCATATCCTAATCCTTGTGAAATACAAATCTCATCAGCTGGTTCCAAACATGTTTTTCCTGTTTCTTGCTTATGGAGAGTATTGTAGTTACCTTGTGTCTCACTTCCTGCACACCTTCAAAGACCAAGAAAAACGACAAAGTTTTGAGCTGAGACACTAAAACTAGCTCAGCGGAACTCACCGTAAGGATCTGTTGCACAGATACCTTGGAAAGCCACAAGAAAAGAAGATATAGGGAAATGTGACAATAAACATAGACATTTATGTACTCGTGTATAAGTAAAATCTAAAAAGTTTTTGAAGCTATGCGGACTACTGACCCACAGAAAAACACACACACACAAACATTGAAAGCATTTCCTCAACTTGATCTCAGAAAGAACTCTGGCTAACTGCAACTATTGATGAACCTAAATGAACCTAAAACAACCTAAGTTGCCTAAGCAAAACCTCTGCCTGAATTCTATGAGATTTATTCCAAGGTATTTGTATACGATCTACGATCTACACCACAGTTTTACATTAGGGTTACTGTTGTATAAAACTGAATGCTGATGACACCTAGTGCTTGAAGTCTAGAAATGCCTAGAATATTTCAATAGAGATGTAGATGGTAGAGCAGTATAAGAATAGGTGACAACAAAGAAAGGAAGAGTGTTTATGGCAAGTACGTTAACCATCAATCTTGTTCCTTTTTTTGTCTCTAGAACGATGCCTTTTGTTATTTTTTATGGTGCTATAAATTGTAACCTATCTATCTGTCTATCACAATTCTGTACTGCTGTACTATAAAGTGACTTCAGCATAAAAGCAATAAACAAAACAGTAATAAATAAAATTTACATTCTCTAACAACACTCGTAGGCACTTAACCTCAGTATTGACAATTACAACTCCAAGGTTCTTTGTACGGAGACTACAGTTGGTCCAGAATCCAGCCGCGCAAGCTGTCATGGATGCACCTAGGTACACCCACATTACACCAATTCTCTGTGAGCTGTGACTGGCTCCCTATTGGTCTCCGGTCACAATTCAAGATGTTGGTTATTACCTTTAAAGCCCTACATGGCTCGGGGCCGGAGTATTTTCGAGACCGCCTTCTACCGCATAACTCCCAACGACTGGTAAGATCCCACAGAGTTGGTCTCCTCCGGGTCCCATCAGCTAAACAATGCCGGCTGGCGGGCCAAAGGGGAAAGGCCTTCTCTGTGGCTGCCCCAGGTCTCTGAAACCAGTTACCTCCTGAGGTCCGGACCATCCCCACCCTATTGGCCTTCTGAAAAGTGGTGAAGACCTGGCTTTTCCGGCAGGCCTGGGGCCGTTGATCTCGCTCTTGCGATCCGGCGAGATCTGGCCATGAATGTTGTGAATGAGTTTTAATGTTTTTAATTTTTAAATGTTTTTTATACTGATTTTAAATGCATTATGAGCCGCCCTGAGTCTTCGGAGAGGGGCGGCATACAAATTGAATTAATAAATAAATAATAAATACTATTCATTTTCTTGCACTTTTTTTTTCTTTAGAGTGAAAAATTGTTCAATTTGGATAGATGGACATGGTGATGTCACAGAAGGCAGACCAATTAGCCCTGGCCTCATTTAGCACCTATCTGGAAATCCAGAATTACTTTCTGTTCTATGCTAGAGAACATAGAACTGGATGGAAAGTAAGTAAAAGCCTAAAATGACTTCATCTGAAGTGATAGATTAGAAAAGGGGAACTAAAAAGGGGTTGGAAGAGAATCTATAGCCGTGATGGCGAACCTATGGCACATATGCCACAGGTGGCACGTGTAGCCATATCAGTGGGCACGCGAGCTCAGTTCTGGTGGGACCGGAAGTTGTCAAATGGCCCATTTTCAGCCTCCGGAAGACCTCCAGGGGGGGTGGGGAAGGCTGTTTTCACCCTCCCCAGACTCCTAGAGAGGCCCTAGAGCCAGGTGAGAAAGAAAAACGGGCCTACCGGGCCATTACTGGTTGGGCCAAGAGGGGGGAGGCCTCTCGTTGAAATGTGCCCACCAGGTTTCCGCGCATTCCATCGGCCGAGGTTGCAGGGTAGGGACGGGGGGGTAGCGGTTATTATTAAAGGTGGTCTGAGACCGAGGAAGGCCCCTGTTCCTCAGACGACCGGCTGTGAATCCCTCCTTGTGAAGTGGGGTCATGGGGTTCAGATGGGTCTGCTGATTGCGTACCTGGCTCCCTGCCATGTGTCAGCAGCCCTGCCCGAGCTACTCAATGTCGTCGCCGCGGTGGCGGTTGATACCCCTAGGCTTATGATCATGGGGGATTTCAACCTGCCGTCTGTGGGTGAGGCATCAAAGGTGGCTCGGGAGTTCATGGCTTCCATGACAGCCATGGACCTGACCCAGTTAATTCATAGCCCTACCCACATGGGGGGAAACACGCTGGATCTGGTTTTTGTCTCTGGACAGTGGCTGAGTGACCTTGAGATAGGGGATATAGTTACTGAGCCCTTGTCATGGTCAGATCACTCTCTCCTTCGTCTCGACTTTCAAACCGCTACACCCCGCCGCAGGGAGGCGGAGCCGGTAAGATGGTTCCGCCCCAGGCACCTGATGGAACCTGATAGGTTCCAGATGGAGCTTGGGCCATTTCCTGAGGCTCTGGCACATGCCTCGGCTGGAGACCTAGTGGCCGCCTGGGAAAGGGCGGCCACTGGAGTTCTGGATTGGGTCGTGCCTTTGCGGCCTCTGACCCGGCGCTGATCTCATTCGGCTCCTTGGTTCACTGAGGAGCTGAGGGAGTTGAAGCGCCGGAAAAGACGCCTAGAGAGTAGTTGGAGGGCCAGTCTTTCGGAATCCGACCGGACACTGGTAAGATCCCATATTAGGACTTACCTAGTGGCGATAAAAGCAGCGAAATGTAGTTATTTTGCTGCTCTTATTGCATCATCAGATAATCGCCCGGCCGCCCTGTTTAGGGTGACCCGCTCCCTGCTCCACCAGGAAGCGCGGGAGGACCCCTTGGAGGGTAGAGCCGAGGATTTTGTTCAGTATCTGTATGACAAAATCACTCAGATTCGGGAAGATTTGGACTCCAACTAGGTAGTCTCAGGGGAAGGGACTGGGGCAGGTCTTGAGAATGTTATCTGGGATGAGTTTGATCCTGTGACCCCTGAGGACGTGGACAGGATTCTGGACAGACTGAACATGACCACTTGTTTATTGGACCCGTGTCCCTCCTGGTTAGTACTGGCTTCCCGGGAGGTGACGCGAGGCTGGCTCCAGGGGATTATAAATGCTTCATTGGGTGAGGGTGACTTTCCCACTGCTTTGAAAGAGGCAGTGGTGAGGCCTCTCCTCAAGAAGTCTTCCCTGGACCCGGCAATGTTGGTTAATTATCGTCCGGTCTCCAACCTTCGTTTTGTGGCGAAGGTTGTTGAGAGTGTGGTTGCGCAACAGTTCTCCCAGTTCCTGGATGAAACGACATATCTGGATCCGTTCCAGTTGGGCTTCAGGCCCGGGTACAGCATGGAAACGGCATTGGTCACGTTGGTAGATGATCTCTGGAGGGCTCGGGACAGGGGGTGCTCCTCTGTCCTGGTCCTGTTAGACCTCTCAGCGGCTTTTGATACCATCGACCATGGTATCATGCTGCACCGGTTGGAAGAGTTGGGGGTGGGAGGCACCGTACTAAGGTGGTTCTCCTCCTTTCTCTCCGACCGGTCGCAGTCTGTGTTGACAGGGGGGCAGAGGTCGACCCCGAGGCCCCTCATATGTGGGGTGCCGCAGGGATCGGTCCTCTCGCCCCTGTTGTTCAACATTTATGTAAAGCCGCTGGGCGAGATCATCCGTGGTTTTGGGGTGGAGTACCATCAGTACGCTGACGACACCCAGCTGTACATCTCCACCCCGGATCACCCCAACGATGCCCTTGAAGTGATGTCCCAGTGCCTGGAGGCCGTACGGATCTGGATGGGGAGGAACAGGCTCAGGCTCAACCCATCCAAGACCGAGTGGCTGTGGTTTCCGACGTCCCGATATAGTCAGCTAATGCCATCGCTGACTATTGGGGGCGAATCATTGGCCCCCACGGATAGGGCTCGCAACTTGGGCGTCCTCCTGGATTCACGGCTGTCGCTAGAAGAGCATGTGACGGCCGTGTCCGGGAGGATTTTTCATCAGGTTCGCCTGATCCGCCAGTTGCGTCCCTATCTAGATCGGGACTCCCTACACACAGTCACTCATGCCCTCGTTACTTCTCATCTGGATTACTGCAATGCTCTCTACATGGGGCTCCCCTTGAGGTGCACTCGGAGGCTCCAACTGGCGCAGAGTGCGGCCGCGCGGGTGGTTATGGGAGCGACATGGCACTCCCACGTAACACCTCTCCTGCGTGAGGTGCACTGGCTCCCGGTGGTCTTCTGGGTGTGCTTCAAGGTTCTGGTTACCACCTTTAAAGCGCTCCATGGCTTAGGACCTGGTTATCTACGGGACCGCCTACTACCACAATCAACCTCCCACCGGCCAGTATGCTCTCATAGAGAGGGGTTCCTCCGGGTGCCGTCGGCCAAACAGTGTCGACTGGCGGCCCCCAGGGGGAGGGCCTTCTCTGTGGGGGCACCTACTATCTGGAATGAGCTCCCCCCGGAGATACGTAGGATCCCGGACCTGCGCACTTTCCACCACGCTCTAAAGACCTTTCTATTTCAGCAAGCAGGCCTGGCCTGACCTTTCCCCCCTTTTAATTTTTTAATTTTTTAATTTAAATTTAAATTTTAAATTTGTTCTAAATTTTTGGGATGTTTTAAATTGTCTTGGGCTCAAATATTTAATTTGGTTTTAATTCTGTTCTTAACTTTTTTATCTATGTGTTTTATTTTGTGCCTGTTCATCGCCCTGAGTCCTTCGGGAGTAGGGCGGTATACAAATTTGATCAAATAAAATAAATAAATAAATAAATCACGTGCCAGGAGCAAGGGGAAGGGGGTCATGCGTGCATGCATGGGGGCGGGGCAATAGAATTATGGGTGTGGGCATGCACATGCGCGACCCCCAACCTTCCTGGCACGCGATGGCAAAAAGGTTAGCCATCATTGATCTATAACCATATCACTGCAATTAGTGTGCAGCTACTTCTTTGTAGCATCATCATTGTTCATTTGCCTCAAATCAGCTTCCCTTCCTCATTTTAGTAGCGGGAACCTATAACGTGCCTTCTATAATATAAACAGCCTCCTTGCCTCTGCCTGTATCCTACTGTTCACATGTAGCTGAAGCAACAGAAGGCTGGCTTTAATGCTCTACTTTTTTCTCTCTCTTATCTTACCCCCAAACTTTCCATGCAGGCAATATGGAGCATGTGAGGGTGGTTTCGAAAGATGTATTGATGTTGGCAAACTTCTAGCTTTGATTGGTTCTCCCATTTTCTTGATGGGACCATCCATCCATGCAGCCCCTAAACTCTTCCCCTACTGCTCAATCTTCTTTTGGCTCTGAGAGGACTGGAATCTTGGCTTTTACACCCTTATTTTAATGGATCGGTCAGCCAATCCATTGGTAAACCTAGTTTGCAAACCCTTGAAATTGGCTTAATGCAGTGGTGAAATCCAAATTTTTTACTACTGGTTCTGTGGGCATGGTGTGGCTTGGTGGGCCTGGCTTGGTGGGCATGACAGGGGAAGGATACTGCAAAATCTCCGTTCCCACCCCACTCCAGGGGAAGGATACTGCAAAATCTCCATTCCCACCCCACTCTGGGGCTAGCCAGAGGTGGTATTTGCCGGTTCTCTGAACTGCTCAAAATTTCCGTTACCGGTTCTCCAGAACCTGTCAGAACCTGCCGGATTTCACCCCTGGCTTAATGCATATAATTGTAATTATAAGTGAAAGGATTCATTCCTTGTGTTTCTGTAACCTGCCTGGAAGATCATTGCTCCCAGGGGCCTGGTTCATCACTTCCTCTCTTTGTGTAATATTCTTGGAGTAGTTTATAACTTCCATACCAATCCCCTCAGCCAAATCCTTTTTTCAAACATATCCAGCAACTGCCCCTAGATGGCAGCTAAAAGATACTAGATATCTACTTCGGCTACTACTTAGTGGGCAGTCCATTCACCAATCAACTGAGTTTTTTTGCCTGTTTATTTTTTTTATTTTTATTTTATTTCGAATTTATATACCGCACCTTCTCTCGAGGGACTCAGGGCGGTGTACAGCCAGATAAAAACATACAATACAAACATTAAAAAACAATTAAAAGGATATATATTAATTTGGCCCCAATTTAAGATAACAAACCAATTAAAAAAATAAAAATATGTTAAAAAATATGTTAAGCCAGCCCAGCTTGCTGAAAAAAGAAAGTTTTAAGGGCACGGTGGAAGGGGTCTTGGATTGTCCTTATCTCTGGGGGCAGCTGATTCCAGAGGGTAGGTGCCCCCACAGAGAAGGCCCTCCCCCTGGGGTTCACCTGGGGGTCACCATATAATTGAAACTATATGAACAGCAATACAACACAGACAGATTTTATTTCAATCACACCCCACAAATCCTCTCCATATGATATTTTTATATTCCTCATCAGTCTGATCTCATTCTGAGCTTTCCCATAATCACTTCCTATATCAGTTTAGTTTTTGAAAATCATTGAAAGACAACTCTAAGTGGAATGCATTAAAACGTTATACTCCAAATGTAATTTAAGGCACTTTTCCATAGCCACTGATGGCTATTTTATTTCTCAAACTTTTAGAAACATTTCTAGTTTCGGGTGAATGTACTCTCTACTGTCAGGCTTGCAGACTTAATTATCTTTCTGTGAGCTGATTTATACTCTGGTTAACTGATGGGAAAGAGGACAGGATAATAGGCATCCAGTTGGCACCTTGCCCTCTGTCCTCATTGGCACACTCTGCCTTTTTTTCACTGGGTGCATGAAAATGTTCCTTCAGTTTAGAAAGCAGAGAAAAATGTGAACAAATTGCTACAATACTTGGTCTTCAGCTGGAAGACAGGACAAGGCAAGAGCTATTCTTGAAGCTCCAATGTTTTTGCCGCATAATGTTCTCCTGCCTTGCAGCTGAATCAAAAGCTCTGCTGCCAAAGACCTGCTGAAATCCTCTGATTCTTTGAGATGAAATCCTGCTAACCCTGGGTCTGCCCACAAGCCTCATACAAAGTAGTCTCAAGGCAGGCACAATTACAGGGAGACCAACTAAATCTTAAGAACCGTATTTCTAGCCACATCAACTCCTTGAATACCTGGATGGAATTCTGGATCCAGGAGATTCCCTCAATTTGTTCCATCAGAAGCAACATCCCTGTTCTGATACTTTCTCTCTTCACTCACAGCTGCACACAAAATGCAGTTGTGTGGTTTATGCTCATGTTCGTAGCAAAGTAGGTATTTTAGCATAGTTGTTCTTAATGTGTTACCAAAAAGCAATTTCATGTGGAAAAAATAGCATGGTTTTGGTAGCAGACAGGACATCCAGTGTAATTTCTGTCCTAGTTTTTCAAATGAAATGGCAGCCTTCACAGCAATGAACTTAACAATGGCTACATAATCAGTTGGCCCCTACCCAATCAGCATACTTTTCAAAAGTTTTCAAGCCGCAGAATATTTATTTCTTAATTATGTATATGAGATTTTATCTGCTAGCCTGTAGATTTCCCTTCTTGCTCATTTGTTTTAAAGAAGGATTCTGTAAAGGATATAATTTGTCAAGTGAGGGGAGATCAGTTGGTGATCTTCAGAAAAGCCAGTTAATTGGGACTCTGCACTGACCAAATCTTCTGCTTCAAACCAGAGGAGCTTTGCTTTAGAGATTATCCCCAGCTTTTAGGGAATGGAGTAGGAGTGCTTCCAGTCTGAGTTCATTGCTCTGCAAATTTTGCATATGTCTTTTTCCTTTAACTTAATTCTACTGAATTGAAGCATCTGCTCTGGAAATAAATATAGCTGATGTTTATTAAAAGGCTGTCCATAGAGAACAGAGCAAATAAATCATCCTTACCACCATATTAATATATTTTCCATCCATCCAAGAGTTAGGAAGAAGGTATATTGATATTAACTGTGTTTTTGCTGTAGTCTGTCTTTATTGTTCTTCAGGGAGGCTAAGCAGGGTGTCGCCCTCACATGATTTAATAGTTTCAAGGCAATTCCTGGTGGATCCCTTGTCATCCTGTCTCCTCCCATCTAGCAGGACCCACCAGCAAGAAAATCAGCAACCAGTTCAGGGGTGGGTTCTACTTACCTTTACTACCGGTTCGCAACAGGGCTGCACGTGCACATGTGCAGATCATCATTTATGACGTCCGGGCAGAGCCTCCTGCCGATTTTACTACCGGTTCTATAGAACCAGACAAAACCAGGAGCAACCCACCACTGAACCAGTTGTTTCACTAAACACATAGTTGGTGCTTTGAAGCTACAACTCTTAATGTTTCTTATTTATTTGCCTTTAATTTTGATTTGTTTAGACTTTTAATCTTTATTATAATAGTATAATTTATCACTATTACCCAGGAGGTTGACAGTCCTGGGAAATAATTTCATAGATGGTGTCACCTAGAACTTAATCAGATTATCTCTGGGAGATCAATACTTTTGTCATAAAGTTATAACATTGATATGCCTATGTTGAATACTCTCCTCAACTTTATAGGTGTGATGAGAAGAACTGATTTGAAATACAGAGTAGAGAAGCCTATTTAGAACAGTTCTCAGAGCTATTGTGCTACTGGATCTTTTTTCCCCCTTAAGACAAATTTTCCTGCAAATCATTTTGGATCAGGTATACAGTAAATTCATTGTTTCAACTCTGTTCTATGTATTTGTATGTATGTGCTTCATATATTTGCTCTACATTATAACTTTCACAGAGAATACACACACAATCTATTACATTGAATAACAAGATTCTGACTGAAGATTGATCCATCATTTGAAAGTTCAATATTCCAATATATAAAGAGAAAAATGCCATTACTTGTCCTGAATTGAGTATCTCTTGTCACTGAAGAAACCACAGAAAGGCAGTGCCCAGGAAACAGATGAGGAGGGCCATTTTTCCAGCATATTGTTGGGCCAGCAGATCACTATCCATGAATATGTCATTCACAAATTCATCCCTAAGGCACCTTAAATTGTCTGCATGGAAAGTATGGTGTTGGGAGAAGAAGTAAAGCCTCAGTTCCAAGCTGGAATCACCATAAATGACTCTAGAGTTTGTCAGCAGTTGGCTTATGCAAGTGGGGATTGAATAGAAACAATGTCATGAGAGCAAACAAAGTCTGATTTAGTTGAACTGATAGGGGAATTGATAGGGTAGTGCATATGGTCTCAACAAATACAGTAAGTGTTACCAGTGTGTGTGGAGCATCATTTGAATGAAACTATTGGCAGATGGGAGGAAGGGCATTTAGCTGTCGTTTTGCTAGCTGATACTCAATGAATTTCTCTGTCTCAGGCTACATTTTCATGCAGTTGCTGGGAAGGAAAAAGAAATAGTAAATAATAGTTTTGGTGTGATTTTAGAAGAAGCACATGAGACAGCAGAAGAAGGTCTGATATTAAACAATATCTCTCAGCAGCCATCCCCCTCTTTTGGGGCCACTGTTGAACCAACAACTCTTTAGAGTCCTGCGGAAAAATCAGGTGGAACAACGGCTGATGACTTCTTTCTATCGGTCCACAATAGAAAGTGTCCTCACATACTGTATAACAGTATGGTACGCTGGTTTAACAGCTGCGGAGAGGAAGGCACTACCAAGAGTGATCAATTCAGCACAAGAAGCCATTGGTTGCCCTCTAACACCACTGGATGACAACGGCAAGTCTCGCTGTTTCAGCAGAGTAAGGAAGATACTTAGGGATGACTCACACCCTGGCCAGTGTCTTTTTTCACTCTTACTATCGGGCAGAAGACATTGAAAATTGCCAGCCGGACAAACAGATTTAAAAACAGCTTCTACCCATGGACTATCAGACTCCTAAACACAATCACAATCACTCCATGTACATATGGAAATGTATGACTAGTTTTATTCTTTCCCCAATTACTTGTATAAATTGAGAATTGTATTTTCTTGTATTTTCTGTTATGGATTGCACCCATAGAGGCTAAACCAATTTCGTTGTATACATGAAGTACAATGACAATAAAGGTTGTTGTTGTTGTTGTTGTTGTTGTTGTTGTTGTTGTTGTTATTGTTATTATTATTATTATTCTCTTTTATTCATTAAACATTAAACTCAGTCAACTGAACATTTAAAAATGTGTCACAAGTATGATTGACTGGTACTAATGGTTGATACGGGTTGCTGCCAGCGTCCTTGGTATCAACGAAGTATCTTCTTAAAATATATGATGTTCCAAGTAGCACAGTTTTTTGCAGTTCCGCTGGTGTTATTGCAGGAAGCAGCAATTTCTTGATGTGTTTTGTAAAATTCTTGGACATGGTACCAAGTGCCCCAATGACAATGGGTATCACTGTTACATGTTTCATCCATAGCCGTGTAGTTTTGATGGCCAGATCGTGATATTTCATGATTTTTTCCAGTTCTTTTTCTTCAATTCTGGCGTCTCCTGGTACAGCGATATCAATAAACTGTATGCTCGACAACCGTAATATCTGGCGTGTTATGTTCCAAATGACGATTTATCTGTATTCAAAAGTCCCACAAGATCTTCACCATCTCATTTTCGATAACTTTTTCCACTTTGTGCTCCCATGACTTTTCAGATACAGGAATGTTGTATTTTTTACATAGTGACCAGTAGACTACTTTAGCAACTTGAGCTTTGTAATCAGTTTGCGCGATTTTGCTGCACTCACATATTAAGTATGAAACAGTTTCAACTATGTCGTTGCAAAGTCAGCAGTTTGGATTGTCAGTGGATTTTTGTATTTTCGCTTTCATGGCATTAGTTTGTAGTGCTTGTTCTTGAGCAGCAAGTATTAAACCTTCCGTTTCTTTCTTGATGGTTCCTCTCTTAAGCCATGCCCATGTCAAGTTGTTATCACATTTTCCTTCAATGTTTTTCAAATGCTGTCCATGCGGAGCTTTGGTTTTCCATCCTTTTAATCTGTCATCCAACTGTTTTTCCTTATATTCTGCCTTTGTTTCTGTTGTTTTTATAATGTTCTCCGTTTTCACAGCCTGCAGCAATCTTTCTGTGCATTGGTTCACATAATCATTCAAACTTCATTTTTCTTCTTCTACAGTTTGATGGATTTGAAATAGCCCTCTGCCCCCTATTCTTCCTGGCAGGTACAACCTGTTGGTGTCACTTCGTGGATGTAAAGCGTGGTACATATTCAAAAGTTTACGTGTTTTCCGGTCCAGGTTTTCCAGTTTAGCCACAGTCCAGTTGATGATTCCAGCTGGGATGATTCCAGCTGGGACTGCCCATATATCACTGGAACTGCCCATATATTAATGGCTTTAATTATGTTTCCAGCATTCATTTTTGATTGTAATATTTTGTGGACTCTCCTGATGTATTCCTTTTGCGTTGAATCTTTGACTTTTCCATTCAAGATGTTATCTACTTCCAATATGCCTAGGTATTTGTAACCGCAATCCTTTGCTAATGCTTTCATCATGCTTCCATTTCCCAGGTCTATTCTTCTATTTTTTCCATTTTTCCTCGCTGCATGGATAGTATAGCACATTTTTCAAGTCCAAAGTTCATTCTGATATCACTGCTGAACAGTTGAACTGTGTTGAGTATTGATTCAAGTTTAGTGGGGCTTTTCGCATATAGTTTTAAGCAGTGGTGAAATGTAAAATTTGTTACTACCGGTTCTGTGGGCGTGGCATGGTGGGGGGGGTAATGTGACTGGGTGGGCGTGGCCAACTTTTTTTTTTTACTTTTAAAAGCATTTTTTCTACAACCTCTTCGGCCAAAGAGGTTCTAAAAAAATGCTTTTAAAAGCCTCTGACGATCCTAGCTGAGTTGCCTGATCATCAGAGGCTTTTAAAAGCATTTTTTTCTGCAATCTCTTCAGCTGAAGAGGTTGTAAAAAATGCTTTTAAAAGTCTCTGATGATCAGGCAACTCAGCTGGGATCATCAGAGGCTTTTAAAAGCATTTTTTTCTACAATGTCTTCAGCCGAAGAAGTTGTAGAAAAAATGCTTTTAAAAGCCTCTGACGATCCCAGCTGAGCCGCGCGATCATCAGAGGCTTTTTTTTTTTTACTTTTAAGAGCATTTTTTCAGCCGAAGATGTTGTAGAAAAAATGCTTTTAAAAGTAAAAAAAAAAGCCTCTGATGATCGCACGACTCAGTTGGGCATGGGGGTGGGCGCAAGGATTTTTGCTACCAGTTCTCCAAACCACCTGCTGTCATCGCTACCGGATCGGGTGATCCGGTCCGAACTGGGAGCATTTCACCCCTAGTATTAAGTCACCCATGATGGTTTATCTTGCCATGTTGGCTTGAGATTTGGTAGCCCTGTTTTGTGTTTCGTAGGATTATTGACAATGGAATTAATGTGATGTTGATCAGTAGTAGCGAAAGTGAGTCCCCTTGGAAGATTCCTCATCTGATGTTGACTTTGCCAATGTTCTCCCCATTTGCTGTTAGAACTGTTTTTCATTTTTGCATATTTGCTTTCAAAAATGTATAAATATTTTTGCTGATACCGAAGTTTTTCAGACAGGAGTTAATCCAGCTGTGGGGTAGTGTGTCAAATGCCTTCTTGTAATCTATCCACGCCATATCTAAATTTGTTCTTCTTCATTTTGCATTTTTTAGTACCATTTTGTCAATGAGCAGCTAATCTTTTGTTCCTCTTGATTTTTTGTAATTTCCTTTTTGTTCTACTGGGTACACACTGTTTTCCATCAGATGATTGAATACTGAATTTGCTAATACTCTTGTAAAAAGCTTGAATGTTGTTGGCAGACAAGTAATTGGGCGATAGTTGCTTGGTTCTGTGTCCTTTTCTGGATCTTTCATTATCAAGTATGTTCGGCCAGCTGTTAACCATTCTTCGCTTGTTGCATTTTGAAGCATTTCATCAAATTGAGCCGCCATGCGGTGATGGAGGCTGGTTAGGTGTTTTAACCAGTATCCATGCAGTTCGTCCAGGCCCCAGTTCTTGACCTTCTTTACTTGTTGTGCAACCATATCAGTTGTTATTACAATATTCTCCATTTTGTTTCATGTTGCTTGTTTTGAGTATGTTTGATCCAGGAGGCAGTTTTATCATGTTCCACTGGATTTTCCCACAGTTGTTTCCAAATGTGCAAAGTTTTTTCTTTAAATGGGTGAACATTAGTATGGTCTCGACTTTCATCAAGTGACTGGTAGAAGAGGTGTTGACTTCTTCTGAACTGGACATTTTCACGATATTGTTTTATTTGTCCTTCGTATCTTTTGATTTTCTTTGCTGTTGCTATTACACGCTGTTTTAGTTCTTCCATAATTTCTGTTATTGTTTTTTCCTCCAGGTTGTCTGTTTTTGTGTTAACTATTTTTCAGCTTTTTATTCTTTAGTTTTCCTTCTTTCAAGTATTTCAAATTGCTGACATCTCCTCGTATTTTTTAAATTTTATTTTCAAGTCGAATTTTCCACTTTGGTATTCCAGTGGATTTCTTTTTTGGTATTTTATAACCCAATTGTGCAGTTATACCGGCGGATGTGCTGTACATTAGTTGGTTTGTTTCATATAGTGTGCTAGATGGGATGGAAGTTAAGGTTAAGGTTAAGGTTTATTAAATTTGTATACCGCCCTTCTCCCAAAGGACTCAGGGCGGTGAACAGCCAAGATTAAAATACATACAATATAAAAATTAAAATAAATTAAAACAGAATTAAATCAAATCGGCTTCCCAAAATTTAAAACCCTTTAAGTTAAAATGTTGTTCATGGTATTTAGTAGATCTTTCACTCATTTGCTATGTACTTCACAAATGGCAGGCAGTCTTTTTCTTTCTGTGTTTTCTTTGATGTGGTTTTCAATCTTTTCTTTCAGCATTTTCACTAGATCACTTAGCTGTACACTTTCGAGTTGTTGCACAGGAAGATCATCCTGTATATTGATTTCTTCCATTGGTTGGTCAGTTTGTTCAGCTGTTGGAACAGTTTCTTCAGCCTGTTCATCATTACTTGTTGTTTTCTTTCTAGCCAATGTTTCTAGATGTTGCATTTCCACATCTGTAAAAACGTTATTACGGATGATGAAACGTTTTTGATCCAATAATCTTTGTTCAGTTATGTCGCTTTCTGGGTGTTTTTCCTTCCACAGTTGCATCATTCATTTTTGAAATCCCCTGGCTGTTGGTTCTGCCTGGTAGTACATTTGATGATTTCTCAATTTTCTTCGGTTGTCCAAGTTTTGCGCTTTTGTCCTAGTCGCTTTACAGTTGCACATCCTGGTTCCCCAGCAGTAGCAACTGAGCCCTATAGCCCATTTTTCGACAGATGTCCAGGAACCATAGCATCTGATGTGGTCCTTGTTGACCCGGGCAATGACCGATCCAGTATGTAATTTTGTTGTTTTCTTCTCACCATTGGTGATGGTAGGTGCCTGGCAATGTTGGTTCATGGTGGCTAAGCCACTACCGATCTGAAGACCAGCAATCCCATAATCATAGGGACCACACCCGATAGCCATCTAGGCCCAGCCACAGGTTGTTGTTGTTGTTGTTGTTATTATTATTATTATTATTTAGTTATCTTCTCCAAAACCTGTTGTGAAACCAACAAGCCTTGTGACAAGATGGCAGATAGTTCTGAGGCTGCTGCATACCATCACAGCATTTATTTTATTTGCATCTATGCCTAATTATGTCTCATTAATGTTTTGACATCTAATGACAGAAGAGAAGAATGCAGACTCTGGAAGTTAATTTCATGATTTTTCAAGTTGGCAACCTGCTTATTTTTTCACCACTATTTTAAACTGAATCCTTTCTATACTTAGAATTGGAAATTCCTGAATGAGAATTTTAGTTGGTCTCAAACATTTAATTGAGAACAGTTACTTCAAAATCCCAAAATTGTGCACAGCACCAAGAAAATGTGGGATAGTATGTGGATGGCAAGTTCTGAAAGAAAGCAAGGAAGAGAGTGTGTAAGCAAGTTAAATTGATGTGATATAACCACCATAAAATTAAAATGGATTTTCTTCATTCATTTAGGGAAAATGAATTAAATATCTGGATTAT